ACTGCTTTTAGTCCTCGTCGAGTCACCCAAGGTGGGACCGGGACATGAGAAAAATCAGACCAAGTTGAGCGAGCTGACGGCGGACGAAACACCGGGAACGTCGCTCGAGTCCAGGGCCCACTGTGGGGGCCTTGCGGGAGGCAGACATGATTCTAGACGTAGCCGCCTACAACCTTCGCCGGCGGAGATGTGGAAATTTTATTTGGTCTCAAATGAGTTCCACAGCTCAATCCAGCAAGATAGCGCTGTCGTCTGAGCCGAGCGACCCTTAAAACCTCCCAAAACAAGCATGGCATGCTTTCTGGTTGCTGGGTAAAGGCTTATTTAATTATAGATTTACTCTGCGGGGAAGGAGTAGGGACGGTTTACCTGTAAACACTAATATTAGGTTTTACTAAGGCATCTGTAGAGAATGATTTAAAGTAGACCTAAGGACCTTACCAATTAGGTATCAATTGGCCGATAATGTAGCAAACAATAGGATAAGTTAGCTAGGAGAAACTGGCAAGCCCTAGCGCTTGATGACGGGGCGCAGGGTCCACAAAGACTGAGAAATAGCGTCTCCTCCTTACCATAGACTTCGACGGACAAGACGTGCCGTGAACTTCAGGCGGCGCCGCCCACGTGTCTTCACATCTGAGTCTGGGGAAAATCTGGATAGAGACAAACTCGAATGTACCAGTAGAAGATCTCCTCCATCAGTCCCAACAGTAAACAGAGATATTCACCTTTTCCAGGAGATATCTGGACCATGACTTAGGGAGATTGTGGCGAGTGAGTTAACTGAGGGCTCGGCGTCTACAGAAGAGTATGCCCATAAGTACCAACGTCTCAGAGTCAGTCTGAAGCTAGCGCGTCTGTGTCTCATAGTTATACTAGGGGATACATACTCTCTCTTGGATAGTAGGAATTTCTGAGTGCAGGCAGGAACTAATAACTAGTGAATAATTGGTAGCAGGTACATAATGGCTCCCGGTTGCACGAGTGGTTTTCCCATGGGGAAGTCCAAGGGGCTAAAGCCTACGGCTTAGGAAGTTGAAGATCCAGGATTTATCTGCACACCAAGTAATTCTAGTCCTTTCTACGTGCATGCAGGCGAGGTTCTTGCGAATAACTCAATCATTTGTGAAAAATCTGTCCTATAACCACTTGGTGAGCTGAGGTACACCTTCTCAGAGCTCGAGTGTCAACAGAGTTTCCAGGTAGGCGACACTCACTTGGGAGGCATCCCTAGACAATTTTGCCACACGAGCGTGTCCATATGTGCCTGGTTAATCGTGGCACTCTATACGATAAGCTCACGCCTACTGTTTTATAGAGCCAAATAGTCAGTTAGTATATTAGAAGAATGAATCATGAATAAACGATAAAAAATTTCAAGGAAAAAAACTTCAAAAAATACGGCCGTGAGCAACGCGCTACCCACATCGTCGTAGAACTTTCTTCTGTACCATTGTGTTGCCAAAGATTTAAGCTATTTTTCGGTATATATAACTCAACTTCCATAATTTTTTATTTCTGAATTTTTGGTAGCTAGCCACGAAATTTGTCCTACTGCTCCGACAACAGTCCAGGACCCAACGAATACGACGTTTTTGTTTTTGCTAGCACAACGGTGCAAACATATGGATGAGGGGACTCATTGCTTCTATCTGACCTTCAATTCTAAGGAGCGAATTTAGAAATGAATCAAAACGTGAAGCAAAATATATGAATACAGAGAAGGCACGTTGAAGGGATGGCATGCAACTACGCGGTAAAAGATTACTAGACGAGTCTAACAAATACCCCAGGACAACACTGACAGGAACACGCCACGAAACACATCTGTGTCTAAACAGCATCGGCATGACGCGTACGACCAGAAGCTTCAAGATAAACATGCGCAGAAACACCGTAAGGTATGGAGAGCTCTGCGCCAGGAACAGTAGGGAATAAGCAGCCCCACGAACCGTCAAATCTCCCAATGGAGAGAGGTAAAAGGCAGATACTCACATGTAACAACAACATGGAAGGCAAACTGGAGAGAAGACACCGTAGTGAGTGAAGATGAAATGAAAATGGTCGAGAAGTAGATCAGGGCACCGTACAAATAACGGGCTTCTATAAACGCCTGGTACCATCCTATACGTAGAAGGCGAAGGGCATCGAGGACTTAAGAGCGGATTCCATAGTATCGAAGACAGTGAGCATCATGAATCGGCTAAGAGAAGGGTCATTCACATCATCATAAGAGATTCAATAGTGAATGAACACAAAAGGCACCATGGCATAAACGTAGCTCTGATGATGAAGGGGAGCTAACTTAGAAAAGTTGTATGAGAAGCTGCAGAATAGACTTGGTCCCATTAATCTAGCGCTTGGACAAACTAAAGTGGAATGCAAACGGAGACGAGTTCGGCGATCTGCGCTCCCCATTAACGAGAGCAAAGAATTTTCAAGGAGAGTCAGCACAACCACCAGCAAGCTGGCCTACAAAAGAGTGAGCTTCCAGTCAACCGGCGTTCGAAACTAAAAATCCAAGAAACTATAGATAAAATGAAATATCCTGCGGACAAGAGGAATCTAGTGAGGTAATGAACAATGGATTTTCATACTAGAAAATTTAAACCAGGAGAAGTGCCCCAATCAGAAACATGGTCAATCGCATCCTGAAGGGAAGCTTCTACCAGGCGACAGTCAGCGCCTGCGTAAGCTGTAGCGAAGTCATCCACATAAACTGACTACCAAATATGCGATGGAAGAACGGAAGGAAGGTCATTTACAGCCAAGAGAAAACGGGTAGTGCTAAGGACAACCTTGTGGGACTCCCTCGGCCTGAACAGTCTGAGGACAGCGAGGCGCCAACACGGACACAAAAATGTCTTTCAGATAAAAAAGCAGCAAGGAAGGCCCATAAAATACCGCAGAGGCCTAAGGAGTGGGCCTCTTCTAAGATGTTATACCTCCTAGTGGTGTCATATGTCTTCTCGAGGTTAAAAAAAACTGCTAGGATGGAGTGTTTATTAGCAAATGCATTTCGCACATACGTATCTAAGTGGAGCAAGGGGTCCAAAGTAGAGCAGCCCTTGCGAAATCCATTTGGCGAGGAGAAAAGCTATTGTAAGTCTTTAAATATCATATCAGACGTCTATTCATCAATCGTTCCTTGACCTTGCAGGCTACATTGGTCAGAGCAATGGGACGTTGGTGAGAGGTATCAAGCCCCGAAGTGCCTGGTTTGCAAAACGGTAGGAGAATGGCAGATTTCTATTCTTGAGGGAGAGCCCCTCGCGTCCAGTCAAAATTGAAAAGGCACAAGGGACTGCAAGGGCTGTAGAATGCAGATGCTGTAACATACGGATATGAATATTATCGGGCCCAGCTGCCGATGACCGGTAAGCGGAAAGCACAGACTCTAGCTCTAATAGAGTAAAAGGCACGTTACATGGCTCCATCCAATTAGAAGAGAAATCCAAGTGCAATTGCTCCCTAGCGGACTTAGAAGCGAGAAACGAGGGACAGAGGTGAAACTCATGGGAGACACAGACAAAATAGTTCCCGATTTCCATGGAAGCCTCAAGAGGCTCCGCAACACTAATGCCAGCAACCCGTCGAACGGGAGCCGGGTCCGGAGCGTACTTGCCAGACAATTTCTGTGCCTTCTTCCAAACTTCACTCATAGGGGAAGTCGAGGTAACAGTAGAAACATAGTCTTGCCAACAAGTGCACTTAGCATCACTTAAAATCCCCAAAAAACCTTGCTCGCTTAAAATCCAAAAGTCAATCTGCTGTCCGATTATATTGGCAACGGCCCCAGGCAGCATGTTTCAAGCGCACTGCACGGGCACAGGCAGGAGACCACGAAAGCACGCATTTATAAGAATGCGTGCCTGAGGTTTGAGGAATAGAATGTGACGCTGCAGTGAAAAGTAAGCTCAAAAACTGGTGAACTAGCTCATCAACAGAGGACGAAGAAAGGTCCCCACATAAAGTGGTAAGATTAAAGTATAAGTCCCAGTTCTCTCTTCCAAATTGCCAGCGAGGGCTACGAGGCGGTCGGGAATATGTAGTAGAAGTAAGAATAACAGGAAAGTAATCACTGTCGTGCAAATCCAGGAGAACAGACCAAATGTAATCAAGGGCAATTGACTAGGAACAGATAGAAAGATCAATGCAAGAGAGAGACTGAGTGAGAGAGTCAAAATAGGTGGGAAAAGAAACAAAAAACAGCACCCTAGGGTGCTTTTTTGGTTTCTGGTAAGTGACGAGGAGTCACGTACAATCACTCGTCGTTTCCTTTCTGTCAGGTATTCTCTGATCTATTCCCCTGCCTTTCTTGTTATTCCTGCCTGCTCCTCTAGCTTTTGCACTAATCTCATGTGTGGAACTGTGTCGAAAGCCTTCATACAATCCAATGAAATGCAGTCTATCCACCCCTCTCTCTTGTCTTACTTGTCACCTTGTAAGCTTCAATTGGTTTGTGACATAGAGTTCCCTTCCCTGAAACCGTGCTGGTTATCGTTAGGGGCACACACTGAGCCTCTGCTTCCTCTCTCAGGACCCATGGAGAGATGTATGATCCTCTTCACCTCCTCGGTTGTGTGTAAACTAAATAATGTTGAGCTTTATATTACTGATTGCGAAAAAGACTTAAGAGTTCTGGTTAGCAGTAATCTGAAACCAAGACAACAGCGCATAAGTGTTCTCAGTAAAGTTATCAGAATCCTTGGCTTCATATCAAGAAGCAAAAATATTAGGAATCTTCAGGTTGTTCTTCAACTCTATATATCCTTGGTTAGGCCTCATTTAGATTATGCTGCACAGTTTTGGTCACCATATTATAGAATGGAAATAAATGCTCTGGAAAGCGTACAAAGGAAGATGACAAAGTTGATCCCATGTATCAGAAATTTACCATTACTTTCACCAGTACCATTGAAGTGCCACTACTCCCACCAGTACTACTAATTTGACCAGTAGCACTACTCTTTCCAGTACCACTACTTACACCAGAAATTCTACTGTCACCAGTCGTCCTACTCCCGTCAGTACTACTGCATCCTCCAGTACAACTACTCCCATCAATTTACTCTTTCCAGTACCTCAACTCCTACCAGTATACTATTTCCACCTGTACTACTACTCCCACGAGTACCATAGTTCCCACCAGTACCTCTGCTCCTACCAATACCTCTACTGCGACCAGTACAACTACTCTATAATAGTGCTACTTCTGCAAGTATCACTACTCTCACTAGTGCAATTACTTTCACCAAAACCACTCCTCTCTCCAGTACTACCACTCCTACCAATACTCTTACTGCCACCAGCACTTCCAATTCCATCAGTACCACCAATCTCACTAGTAACACTACTACTTTCACCAGTATCACACTCAGTACGTAACATTACTCCTACCAGTGTTTTCTATCACAAGTGTCCCTGCTCCCCCCAGCATAATATCCGCCACCAGTACGTCTGCTCCACCCAGTACCAATACCCCCTACCAGTACCACTACTCCCACCACTACCGTCATGTTACAGCATGGTGGTGATCGTCGGGGCTTACTCTGGTCTCTTCGTCAACATCAGAGTGACCAGACTCTCCACGCCACTCTCCAGTGACGAGATGAACTTCGCTCTCCGTTTCTTCTTCATTGTGGTCACTAACTGCCTGTGTTGGCTACCCATTATGTGCGTCAAGGTGGCTGCCTTGGCCCATATTGACATCCACCGTAAGTAGTGTCTGCGGCTGCACTGCTGCACATATACACAGCCTGAGTATTGTATGTGTGTTGCAATAGTACATTTAGTGTTTGAAGTGGATGCAGAGGTGCCAGTGTTTTTTAAGTGCTAAGTGGATGTAGAGGTACCTATTATTCTGGCAGAGGGCGTGTATGTTAGTTCTTTATGTTGTTGCAGAGGGCGTGTACGTTAGTTCTTTATGTTGTTGCAGAGGGCGTGTATGTTAGTTCTTTATGTTGTTGCAGAGGGCGTGTATGTTAGTTCTTTTTGTTGCAGAGGGCGTGTATGTTAGTTCTTTTTGTTGCAGAGGGCGTGTATGTTAGTTCTTTATGTTGTTGCAGAGGGCGTGTATGTTAGTTCTTTATGTTGTTGCAGAGGGCGTGTATGTTAGTTCTTTTTGTTGCAGAGGGCGTGTATGTTAGTTCTTTATGTTGTTGCAGAGGGCGTGTATGTTAGTTCTTTTTGTTGCAGAGGGCGTGTATGTTAGTTCTTTATGTTATTACAGAGGGCGTGTATGTTAGTTCTTTATGTTATTACAGAGGGCGTGTATGCCTGGCTGGTGGTTCTTGTGCTGCCTATCAACTCTGCTGTCAACCCAGGACTCTACACATTCTCTACCTCACAGTTTCAGTCGCAGGTTTCAAGTGCTGTCGGCCTATTCCGAAGAACATACAGAAGACAGAACTCAGGTAGTTATTACTCTACGTTATCCTCAGTGTTAGAACCTTGCAAATGTGTTTGTCTTGAATATAATGAAGGGCCTTTGTCAAAGGAATTACATCTAATCTCCATTTCCTCTGTTGAAACGAATTACCAACGTAATTATCCATGCATGTTTAGAGTTTGACAATAATTCTAAAAATGATATTCATTATCATTTTTTTAACTTTTCACATACAGTTAATAAAATCAATTATTCAACTTATAATGTTCCTTCACAGTTGTGGACTCCATGCTAGTGCTTCCTATTCTTCGACTGCTCTGACATACCTTGTGCACAATATTCTAAGCTTTCTCAAGACTGTTCTAAAATTTGCCAGTCTCTCATGTGGGGCTAAAATGCAATTTAAATGCAACTGCTAAGTAATAATTAATCCCTCGTCTTTCTCTACACTTACTCTCTGAACCTTCTGGTTTGATACATTTGAATTAATATTTCATCAAGCTACTAGATTGCATTATTTTTAATTTCTCTAAATTAACAGCCACTAGATAATGTTTGACCATTCTTGAAGTCCGTCCCACAATTATGTTATCTTTTCTCTTTTATATAATGCTATTTTCGTTGTTACCGTTAATAGCATCGTTTTGCGCACACATACACACATGTATGAGAGTATAGTTTTACCAACGCTCTTATATGGGTGCGAAGCTTGGGTGGTGAATGTTGCAACAAGGAGAAGGCTGGAGGCAGTGGAGATGTCATGTCTGAGGGCAATGTGTAGTGTGAATATAATGCAGAGAATTCGAAGTTTGGAAATTAGGAGGAAGTGCAGGATTACCAAAACTATTATCCAGAGGGCTGAGGAGGGTTGTTGAAGTTGTTCGGACATGTAGAGAGGTTGGAACAAAATAGAATGACTTGGAGAGTGTGTATAAATCTGTAGTGGAGGGAAGGTGGGGTAGGGGTATGTCTAGGAAAGGTTGGAAGGAGTGGGGTAAAGGAGTTTTGTTTAAGAGGGGATTGGACTTCCAGAAAGCATGCGTGAGCGTGTTAGATAGGAGTGAATGGAGATAAATGGTTTTTAGGACTTGACTTGCTGTTGGAGTGTAAGCAAGGTAATATTTATGAATGAATTCAGGGAAACCGGCAGGACGGACTTGAGTCCCGGAGATGGGAACTACAGTGCCAGCACTCTGAAGGAGGGGTGTTAATGTGGCAGTTTTATAACTGTAGTGTAAGTGATCCTCTGGCAAGACAGTGATGAAGTGAATGATGAAAGTTCGTCTTTTTTGGTCCACCTGCCTTGCTGAGAGACAGCCGATGTGTTAATAAATAAAATATATATATATATATATATATATATATATATATATATATAAAATATATATATATATATATATATATATAATATATATATATATATATATATATATATGTAGTATATATAAGTAGTTGGGTAGACAGCAACCACCCAGGGAGGTACTACCGTCCTGCCAAGTGAGTGTAAAATGAAAGCCTGTAATTGTTTTACATGATGGTAGGATTGCTGGGTCTTTTGTCTGTCTCATAAATATGCAAGATTACAGGTACGTCTTGCTACTTCTACTTACACTTAGGTCACACTACACATACATGTACACGTTATTTATACACACTCATCTGAGTTTTCTTTGATTTTATCTTAATAGTTCTTGGTCTTATTACTTTTCCTTTTATATCCATGGGGAAGTGGAATAAGAATCTTTCCTCCGTAAGCCATGCGTGTTGTAAAAGTCAACTAAAATGCCGGGAACAATGGGCTAGTAACCCCTTTTCCTGTAAAGATTGCTAAAAAGAATAAGAAGAAGAAAATTGTCAAAGTGGGAAGTCTGAATGTGCGTGGATGTTGTGCAAATGATAAGAAAGAGATGATTGTGGATGTTATGAATGAGAAGAAGCTGGATGTCCTGGGTTTAAGTGAAACAAAGCTGAAGGGGGTGGAAGAGTTTCAATGGAGAGGAATAAATGGGATTAGGTCAGGGTTTCAAATAGAGTTAGAGCTAAAGAAGGAGTAGCAATAATGTTGAAGGATAAGCTATGGCAGGAAAAGAGGGACTACAAATGCATAAATTCAAGGATTATGTGGAGTAAAATAAAGATTGGATGTGAAAAGTGGGTTATAGTAAGCGTGTATGCACCTGGAGAAGAGAGAAGTGTAGAAGAGACAGAGAGATTCTGGGAAATGTTGAGTGAATGCTTGGGGAGTTTTGAATCAAGTGTGAGAGTAATGGTGGTTGGGGATTTCAATGCTAAAGTGGGTAAAAATGTTATGGAGGGAGTAGTAGGTAAATTTGGGGTGCCAGGGGTAAATGTAAATGGGGAGCCTTTAATTGAGCTATGTGTAGAAAGAAATTTGGTAATAAATAATACATATTTTATGAAAAAGAGGATAAATAAATATACAAGGTATGATGTAGCACGTAATGAAAGTAGTTTGTTAGATTATGTATTGGGGATAAAAGGTTGATTGGTAGGCTCCAGGATGTACATGTTTATAGAGGGCAACTGATATATCAAGATCATTATTTAGTTGTAGCTACAGTTAGAGTAAGAGTAGATGGGAAAAGAGGAAGGTGGCAACAACAAGTAAGAGGGAGGTGAAAGTGTATAAACTAAGGGAGGAGGAAGTTCGGGCGAGATATAAGCGACTATTGGCAGAAAGGTGGGCTAGTGCAAAGATGAGTAGTGGGGGGGTTGAAGAGGGTTGGAATAGTTTTAAAAATGCAGTATTAGAATGTGGGGCAGAAGTTTGTGGTTATAGAGGGTGGGGCAGGAGGAAAGAGGAGTGATTGGTGGAATGATGAAGTAAAGGGTGTGATTAAAAGAGAAAAAGGTAGCTTACGAGAGGTTTTTACAAAGCAGAAGTGTTATAAAGAAGCAGAGTATATGGAGAGTAAAAGAAAGTGAAGAGAGTGGTGAGAGAGTGCAAAAGGAGAGCAGATGAAAGAGTGGGAGAGGCACTGTCAAGAAATTTTAATGAAAATAAGAAAAAATTTTGGAGTTAAACAAGTTAAGAAAGCCTAGGGAAAGTATGGATTTGTTCGTTAAAAACAGAGTAGGGAGTTTAGTAGATGGGGAGAGGGAGGTATTAGGAAGGTGGCGAGAATATTTTGAGGAAACTTTTAAATGTTGAGGAAGAAAGGGAGGCGGTAATTTCATGCACTGGCCAGGAGGTATAACCATCTTTTAGGAGTGAAGAAGAGCGGAATGTAAGTGTGGTGGAGGTACGTGAGGCATTACGTAGAATGAAAGGGGTAAAGCAGCTGGAACTGATGGGATCATGACAGAAATGTTAAAAGCAGGGGGGGATATAGTGTTGGAGTGGTTGGTACTTTTGTTTAATAAATGTATGAAAGAGGGGAAGGTACCTAGGATTGGCGGAGAGCATGTATAGTCCCTTTATATAAAGGGAAAGGGGACAAAAGAGATTGTAAAAATTATAGAGGAATAAGTTTACTGAGTATACCAGGAAAAGTATACGGTAGGGTTATAAATTGAAAGAATTAGAGGTAAGACAGAATGTAGAATTGCGGATGAGCAAGGAGGCTTCAGAGTGGGTAGGGGATGTGTAGATCAAGTGTTTACATTGAAGCATAATATGTGAACAGTATTTAGATAAAGGTAGGGAAGTTTTTATTGCATTTATGGATTTAGAAAAGGCATATGATAGAGTGGATAGAGGAGCAATGTGGCAGATGTTGCAAGTTTATGGAATAGGTGGTAAGTTACAAAATGCTGTAAGAGCTTTTATGAGGATAGTGAGGCTCAGGTTAGGGTGTGTAGAAGAGAGGGAGAATACTTCCCGGTAAAAGAAGGTCTTAGACAGGGATGTGTAATGTCACCATGGTTGTTTAATATATTTATATATGGGGTTGTAAAAGAAGTAAATGCTAGGGTGTTCGGGAGAGGGGTGGGATTAAATTATGGGGAATCAAATTTAAAATGGGAATTGACACAGTTACTTTTTGCGGATGATACTGTGCTTATGGGAGATTCTAAAGAAAAATTGCAAAGGTTAGTGGATGAGTTTGAGAATGTGTGTAAAGGTAGAAAGTTGAAAGTGAACATAGAAAAGAGTAAGGTGATGAGGGCATCAAATGATTTAGATAAAGAAAAATTGGATATCAAATTGGGGAGGAGGAGTATGGAAGAAGTGAATGTTTTCAGATACTTGGGAGTTGACGTGTCGGCGGATGGATTTATGAAGGATGAGGTTAATCATAGAATTGATGAGGGAAAAAAAGTGAGTGGTGCGTTGAGGTATATGTGGAGTCAAAAAACGTTATCTATGGAGGCAAAGAAGGGAATGTATGAAAGTATAGTAGTACCAACACTCTTATATGGGTGTGAAGCTTGGGTGGTAAATGCAGCAGCGAGGAGACGGTTGGAGGCAGTGGAGATGTCCTGTCTAAGGGCAATGTGTTGTGTAAATATTATGCAGAAAATTCGGAGTGTGGAAATTAGGAGAAGGTGTGGAGTTAATAAAAGCATTAGTCAGAGGGCAGAAGAGGGGTTGTTGAGGTGGTTTGGTCATTTAGAGAGAATGGATCAAAGTAGAATGACATGGAAAGCATATAAATCTATAGGGGAAGGAAAGAGGGGTAGGGGTCGTCCTCGAAAGGGTTGGAAAGAGGGGGTAAAGGAGGTTTTGAGGGCGAGGGGCTTGGACTTCCAGCAAGCGTGCATGAGCGTGTTAGATAGGAGTGAATGGAGACGAATGATACTTGGGACCTGACGATCTGTTGGAGTGTGAGCAGGGTAACATTTAGTGAAGGGATTCAGGGAAACCGGTTATTTTCATATAGTCGGACTTGAGTCCTGGAAATGGGAAGTACAATGCCTGCACTTTAAAGGAGTGGTTTGGGATATTGGCAGTTTGGAGGGATATGTTGTGTATCTTTATACGTATATGCTTCTAAACTGTTGTATTCTGAGCACCCTGCAAAAGCAGTGATAATGTGTGAGTGTGGTGAAAGTGTTGAATGATGATGAAAGTATTTTTCTTTTTGGGGATTTTCTTTCTTTTTTGGGTCACCCTGCCTCGGTGGGAGACGACCGACTTGTTGAAATATATATATTATATATATAATATATATATTTATATATAATATATATATATATATATATATATATATATATATTATATATATATATATTATATATATATATATATATATATATATATATATATATTATTGTGATCGCGAACGAGTGGTATTGATCAATAGCAACGCTGCACTACCCAAGGACTCGAACCCATGCTACTTTGGCCTGTCTCATGGTGGGCGAAAACGCATGACGCCCTTATCCACTGGACCATACGATCCTTAAAATTAGCGCATCCAGCAGAACTGAATATTGTACTTGCTACCCAAGGACACACGATTGTGTGGGTGACTCTAGGCTAATTTCATTCTAGTCCCTGTTTGGTGTACTAGTTCAATGAGCAGTATTTTATATTATTGTGACCACGAACGAGTGGTATTGATCAATAACAACACTGCTCAATAAAATACTGCTCGTTGAACTAGTACACCAAACAGAGACTAGAATGAAATTAGCCTAGAGTCACCCACACCATCGTGTGTCCTTGAGTCCCCTCACTTGAAATCTTTTTGAGGACGACCCCTACCCCACCTTCCTTCCCCTACAAATTTATATGCTCTCCATGTCATTTTACTTCGACTATTCTCTCTAGATGACCAAACGACCTCAACAACCTCTCTTCAGCCCTCTAACTAATACTTTTATTAACTCCACACCTTCTCCTAATTTCCACACTCCGAGTTTTCTGCATAATATTTACACCACACATTTCTCTCAGACAGGACATCTCCACTGCCTCCAACCGCCTCCTCGCTGCAGCGTATACAACCCCAAGCTTCACACCCATATAAGGGTGTTGGTACTACTATACTTTCATACATTCACTTCTTTGCCTCCATAGATAACGTTTTTTTGTCTGCATATATACCTCAACGCACCACTCGCCTTTTTTCCTTCATCAATTCTATGAATAACCTCATCCTTCATAAATCCATCCGCCGACACGTCAACTCCCAAGTATCTAAAAACATTCACTTCTTCCATACTCCTCCTCCCCAATTTGATATCCATTTTTTCTTTATCTAAATCATTTGATACCCTCATCACCTTACTCTTTTCTATGTTCACTTTCAACTTTCTACCTTTACACACATTCCCAAACTCATCCACTAACCTTTGCAATTTTTCTTTAGAATCTCCCATAAGCACAGTATCCTCAGCAAAATGTAACTGTCAATTCCCATTTTGTATTTGATTCCCCATAATTTAATCCCACCCCTCTCCCGAACACCCTAGCATTTACTTCTTTTACAACCTCATCTATAAATATATTAAACAACCATGGTGACATAACACATCGCTGTATAAGACCTACTTTTACCGGGAAGTAGTCTCCCTCTCTTCTACACACCCTAACCTGAGCCTCACTATCCTCATAAAAACTCTTTACAGCATTTAGTAACTTACTACCTATTCCATATACTTGCAACATCTGCCACATTGCTCTCCTATCCACTCTATCATATGCCTTTTCTAAATCCATAAATGCAATAAAAACTTCCCTACCTTTATCTAAATACTGTTCACATATATGCTTCAATGTAAACACTTGATCTACACATCCCCTACCCACTCTAAAACCTCCTTGCTCATCCGCAATCCTACATTTTGTCTTACCTCTAATTCTTTCAATAATAACCCTACCGTACACTTTTCCTGGTATACTCAGTAAACTTATTCCTCTATAATTTTTACAATCTCTTTTGTCCCCCTTCCCTTTATATAAAGGGACTATACATACTCTCCGCCAATCCCTAGGTACCTTCCCCTCTTTCACACATTTATTAAACAAAAATACAAACCAGTCCAACACTATATCCCCCCCTGCTTTTAACATTTCTGTCATGATCCCGTCAGTTCCAGCTGCTTTACCCCCTTTCATTCTACGTAATGCCTCACACACCTCCCCCACACTCACATCTTGTTCTTCTTCACTCCTAAAAGATGGTATACCTCCCTGGCCAGTGTATGAAATTACCGCCTCCCTTTCTTCGTCGACATTTAAAAGTTCCTCAAAATATTCTCGCCATCTACCCAAAACCTCCATCTATAACCACAAACTTCTGCCCCACATTCTAATACTGCATTTTTAAAACTATTCCAACTCTCTTCAACCCCCCACTGCTCATACTTGCACCAGCCCACCTTTCTGCCAATAGTTGATTATATCTCACCCGATCTTCCTCCTCCTTTAGTTTATACACTTCACCTCCCTCTTACTTGTTGTTGTCATTTTCCTCTTGCCCCATATACCTCTTACTCTAACTGTAGCTTCAACTAAATAATGATCCAATATATCAGCTGCCCCTCTATAAAAGTGTACATCCTGGAGCCTACCCATCAACCTTTCATCCACCAATACATAGTCTAACATACTACTTTCATTACGTGCTATATCATACCTTGTATATTTATTTATCCTCTTTTTCATAAAATATGTATTACTTATTACCAAACCTCTTTCTACACATAGCTCAATTAAAGGCTCCCCATTTTCATTTACCCCTGGTACCCCAAATTTGCCTACTACTCCCTGCATAACATTTTTGCCCACTTTAGCATTGAAATCCCCAACCACCAATACTCTCACACTTGGTTTAAAACTCCCGACGCATTCACTCAACATTTCCCAAAATCTCTCTCTCTCCTCTACACTTCTTTCTTCTCCAGGTGCATACACGCTTACTATAACCCACTTTTCACATCCAACCTTCATTTTACTCCATATAATCCTTGAAATAATACATTTATAGTCCCTCTTTTCCTGCCATAGCTTATCCTTCAACATTATTGCTACTCTTTCTTTAGCTCTAACTCTATTTGAAACCCCTGACCTAATTCCATTTATTCCTCTCCACTGAAACTCACCCACCCCCTTCAGCTTTGTTTCACTTAAAGCCAGGACACCCAGCTTCTTATTCATAACATCCACAATCATCTCTTTCTTATCATTTGCACAACATCCACGCACATTCAGACTTCCCACTTTGAAAATTATTTTCTTATTCTTTTTAGTAATTATTACAGGAAAAGGGGTTACTAGCCCATTGTTCCCGGCATTTTAGTTGACTTTTACAACACGCATGGCTTACGGAGGAAAGACTCTTATTCCACTTCCCCATGGATATAAAAGGAAAAGTAATAAGACCAAGAACTATTAAGATAAAATCAAAGAAAACTCAGATGCGTGTGTATAAATAAACATGTACATGTATGTGTAGTGTTACGTAAGTGTAAGTAGAAGTAGCAAGACGTACCTGTAATCTTGCATATTTATGAGACACCAGCAATCCTACCATCATGTAAAACAATTACAGGCTTTCGTTTCACACTCACTTGGCAGGACGGTAGTACCTCCCTGGGTGGTTGCTGTCTACCAACCTACTACCACAGGACGGTAGTACCTCCCTGGGTGGTTGCTGTCTACCAACCTACTACCACAGGACGGTAGATCCTCCCTGGGTGACTGCTGTCTACCAACCTATCATTAACAGAACTACGGGCAGCCAGGACTCGATCCTGCGTTCTTATGCACAGCCCTGTGAGAACTGAACAAAGTATGCGTCACTCTATCCACTAGACCAATCCTCAGACAGCTGGCGCTCAGAAGTACTGAACGTATTCTCCCTTGTGCGAGGACATACGTGGTCGGGGAGCCTCAGAGACTAATTTCAACCTCATCATGTTTGGGGTACCAGCCTTCATAAGTAGTCTATATATTAATGAAATCACGAAACAAGAGAAATGCGGCTAGCCAGGATTCGATCCTGCATTCCTATGCCCAGCCTCTTGAGAACTGAACAAATTACGCATCACTCTATCCACTAGACCAGCAAAGTCACTCATGAGGTGTACGGTCACTTGAGTAGCAGGTATTGAGAAAAAAAATCTGAATATCAGGTAGAGTGCAAAATCTTACAAGGAAAATGGGTGATAAATATTGTTATAGTGAATAATAATCTCTGTAGACTGTCAGGGCCCTACCAATGATTGTATGGGAGAGCCAGGGTAGTTATAACATTTTTAGTATTGAAGTTTTAACCACATTTTTTTTTTCAACAGACACAGAAGCACTTCGGCACTCGTCTACTCGGGTGAGTAGTGGCAATAAGCTCACCGCTCACAACTACCACCACAACCAACCACAATCTCCCTATCCACTACCATCCTTATTGAATCCTAAAACCCCACCTTTAAATCTGAGGCATGCAGAGGATTGTTCTAGTGAAAAGCCAAATGCGATGCCTGAAGATAAGTACATACCTGAAACGCCTTCTACTTCACCCATTGACGACTCTAGTGACAGCAAGTTGACTTACTCCTACAGAAATGGCTATTCAGTTCCTAGGGCACCTAGGAGGGCAGCATCAGGAGAAGGCGCGCAGGGTGAAAGCAGAAGCCGTACACACAACGAGGATGCCTGTGCTCAGAGTCAAGTGACCTTCAGTGCCAAGGTGACACTACCCACACATTCCTACAGTGATAGTCAGATATCTCCTGGTGACCGTGGGCAGTCATCGACTCTGAACAAGGAAGGATGCTCAAGTCCCTCTTATCCAAATTCTTCTTCGATAGGCCAGACTCCGAAAAAGAAAAGAACCTACTCAGATGCCCAGAGCTTCCAGGATATCTGCTTGGAAGCTCACGTTTCCAGACGCGGCAACATCCACTACCCATTAACATTTACCTCGACGACGCTTGCCTCCACTCCCTCCTTCCAGGGAAGCCCTCTTTATGTTGACTGCAGAGCGACTGCTACCTCAGACTTCCAGGATTTAGACGTCTTGCAGCTCAACGTAAAAGTATGTTATAGTCCTGAGATGATACGAACTCCTAGTCAAAAAAAATCAAGGAAAAGTAGCTGTTCCATCACGAAGGCTTCACCTGAGGTGCGCCTGTCTCCAGACGCAAACAATATGGCCGCAGAGAGCTCACAGGTAGGGGTTACTAACACCGTGAGGACGAGTCCGTCTCACTCGCAGACCTTGTTTACTTCTCTGGAACAATCGGGAGAAGAAGACATTTAAGAGGGCTCTATTGTTTGCCTTTCTAGAAAGCCTTATTCAACTCCCACTCTCTTAGATCTGGATTAATCAGTTTCATTTTTCTAATTATAATTCAAAATTTTGCCCAATACATTAAGAATTTTTCAGTGCCCTTTGGAAAATTAATTTGTCATATATTCCCTATTACTTTTTTTTCAAAATATTGTTAGTTGTATTTAACATTATATTATTATTATTTTTATTTCTTTATGTGCAACAATTGTAATTTAACCTCCCCTCCTTCCCCTGCTACCTCTCTCTCTCTCTCTCTCTCTCTCTCTCTCTCTCTCTCTCTCTCTCTCTCTCTCTCTCTCTCTCTCTCTCTCTCTCTCTCTCTCTCTCTCTCTCTCTCTCTCTGTCTCACTCTCTCTCACATTGCTGAAAGTTAAGGTTTCAACAATATAAAGAAAGAGAGAAAGCTACAATTTAGAACATTTAAAACTAATTTTTTTTTAATATTATGTTAAACATACTGTCAACTGATCTTGTAGATAAATACTTCATTATTTTTAAGAAACATATTTTTGGGGAACTTGTAAAAGCTGAAAACTTCGGTGATTCAGAGGCTTCGTTCGTTCTATAGATTTCAACCACCTTATATTAGTGTTGAGAATATATATCAAATGTTATTCAGACAATTAAGGAGTAATCGTTAATTGCATTTTGTAATCGAGACAGGTGTTGCCACAATAAAACTGTACTAATGCTGGTAGAATTACCTACAATATAGGACAAAACCCGGGACACAACCCGGGACACAACCCGGTAACGGCTTGATAATGCTTCTGGTGAGCGAAACGTTGCCACAATAAAATATCGTATTAGTTGCACTTGTGTTCTTTTACCTAACAGAAAGAAATCGTTGTTGGTCGACCATCTGGTTGGTAAATTACGTAGCTATCTTTTGAGAAAATTAGTAGTAAACATTACTGCAGGGTTAGTAACATCAGTATGATGTATAAGCGTTTTAGAAATGACATGGCCAACTAAATCAAATCTAAACTGCTTTGTTTAAAAGTCGAAGATAGAATAGTGAATAATTCTTCCATAATAGTTAGGGATTCTCAAATTATGAGTGAACTTGTGCCTTGTATAGAATTTTGACAATGCTATTTTTGGAAGCTTCAGTGTTGTAAGATTCTGTGATACTTTGTCTGCAAAAGTCAAAATGTGATTCTAAATAGCCATTAATACATTAAATTGTAGACCAGACTATGTTATTCATTGTTACAGTAGCTTAAATAAACACATCATATAGTCTACATACAGAACTAACAGTCATCAGCATAAGTATGACGTTCAGGGATAAAGTTGAGTACGTCGAGAAACTTAAACATTCCTTAACTAAACAACAAATACAATTCCTTGTGGTATGTTTGAACTCAGAGATTTTAATAATCTGTTACATTAAGAACTATAGAACGAATGCCATTGAAAGAAATGAATAAACCAATGTCAAATGTAATTATATATATATATATATATATATATATATATATATATATATATATATATATATATATATATATATATATAATATATATATATATATATATATATATATATATATATATATATATATATATATATATTACCGTATATATATGTACCCTATATGCCACCTTTATATCAACAATGTATCTCTTAAATCTTCTGTGCCATATGTATGTATATATATATAATATATTATATATATATATATATATATTATATATATATATATATATATATATATATAAATATATATATGTCGTGCCGAATAGGCAGAACTTGCGATCTTGGCTTAAATAGTAACGCTCATCTTGCCATATAGGACATGTGAAAATTTGTGTATGCAATAATTTCGCCAAAATCATTCTGAATCTAACTAAAAAAATGTATTTAACTGTGTTTGTTTAGTATTAAATTATTGTAAACAAATCTAAAATATATTTAGTTGGGTTAGGCTAAAATAAATTTTTCTTGTTATAATAAGGTTAGGTAAGTTTTCTAAGATTCTTTTGGAGCAAAATTAAAAATTTTAACATTAACATTAATGAAAAAAATATATCTTTAAACGTATAAGAGAAAATTTTAGAAAGGACTTAATTTTAAATGAGTTCTTGCTAATTGACCAGTTTTACATATTCGGCACGACATATATATATATATATATATATATATATATATATATATATATATATATATATATATATATATATATATATATATATATATATATATATGCAATAAGATCACTGTAAACAGGTGTATATCTACACCATTTCCTTGGCAAATTAAATAGCTTAGCCCATTCTATGAACTTTACTGTTGAGTTTGAAGAAAATAACTCATTGCCTTCTCTAGATGTTTTAATTATTAAGGGTAATAATGAATTCAAATTTAAAATTTACAGAAAACCTACAAATAACTGTTCCTATGTCCACTATTATTCCTCGCATCAAGATAGAGTCAAACTGTCTGTTTTCTCATCAATGTTTTTGAGAGCTTTACGAATTTGTAGTCCTGAGTTCATAGATGAGGAAATATCCAAAATTTATGAAATAGCTAATGATTTGAAATACCCAAGAAACGTAATTGATAAATCTTTTAAAATTGCTAGAAATACTTTTTACAATCCCAAAAGGGACAACCAGGCATATTTAACTAAAAATATGTTGGTTCTCCCTTACCAAAAAAACTTGGTTGATATTCCTTCTCTTCTTAAGACTTTTAACATCAAAGTTGTATTTAAAAATCTTGATACAGTAAAAAAATTTTGATAAAGAATTCCCCACAAAATGCTGACGGATGTGTCTATAAGATTCCTTGTAAAATTTGCGATTAAGTTTATTACGGTCAAACTGGTAAAAATCTCGAACTAAGATTAAAACAACATAAATATAGCATTAGAACTGGACAAGATTCAAATGCTCTATTTATTCATGTAAATCCAATTGATTTTCAAAAAGTTGAGAAAGTTGTATCAAGCAAGTTCATGGTCGACAGGAATATAATTGAATCTTGTTTCATAAAAAGCAGTTTTGACAATAATATGAATATTTCCTTTGGTTTATATAAATTAGATTAATTTATAATTAATAAAATTTGGGAAGAATTTAATAATACATTGGGCAAATAATAAATTTTAAAGTTCTTAATTCTTGGGTAGAATAGTTTCTTGGTGGGTTGTGTGAAGGCCCTGTCTAGTTGGGCCAGTGGGCCTGTTGGCCCAACTAGACAGGTCAGGTGTTGCTTCGTTGTGGGATGTGACAGTGAGGTGTTGTCTAGACCCTTTATATGCCTTCCTTGATGCATTACTTGTATTGTTCCTTGATAATGTGAGTAGTCACGAAGGCGCTTGGAATTTCTCTATTCTTTCACAGTGGTCGTTTTGCATACATATATAATATATATATATATATATATATATATATATATATATATATATATATATATATATATATATATATATATATATATTATATATATATATATATATATATATATATATATATAAAGGCTGTTAGACAGCAGCCGCCAGGGAGGTAATACGTCCGATCAGATGAGTGTGAAACAGATACCTGTAATTGTTTTACATGTTAGTAGGATTGCTTGTGTCATTTCTTTGTTTCATAAGTACATCTTATTCATACTACACATATAGCTGTGAATGTATATGTATACATACTCATCTGAGTTTTCTTCTTTCATACTAGTTTATATTTTTTAAATATTTTCTTTTAATTCCATGAGAAAGTGGAGATTGCTTCCACAAGCCACTCATATTGAAAATGGCGGCTGAGATGCCGGAAACAAGGGCTAGTATCCCCTTCTGTATGATTCACATTACAATAAAATGAAATTTTAGCGTTAGGATGTGTGATGTAAGGTATGTATAGCACGGATTAGAAGAAAAAAATTGTCATGTTAGAAATGAAAAAAAAAAAACTGGATGTCCTTGCTGTAGGTGATTAAATGCTAAAGGGGGTGGGGATGGGTAGGAGATTTACCGTGACCAACAGAAAATGGGGTGGAAATATAAACACAAATGCAGTATAATGTGATCCTTTATTGACAACGTTTCACCCACACAGTGGGCTTTTTCAAGTCACACACGGATCTACCTGGGGTTGGAAGGTACGAGAGTATTTATAGTCATGTTCAGAATGTTGAGGTCAGGTGGAGAATGCTGCATCTGATGATCTACCGGGTGGGGTTATAGAGTCTTGGGTAGCTTGGCAGGTGTATTGGACAAGTTGTAGACCTTCTGCAGTGTTCTATGCTCTATAAATACTCTCGTACCTTCCAACCTCAGGTAGATCCGTGTGTGACTTGAAAAAGCCCACTGTGTGGGTGAAACGTTGTCAATAAAGGATCACATTATACTGCATTTGTGTTTATATTTCCATTGTGTCGGTATTTTATACCATTTATTACCAGAAAATGGGGTAAATCAGATGTATCTGATACGACTAGAACTAAAGAAGGGTTAGCTGTAATATTAAATAATTAACTAAGGAAGGAGAAATGAGAATAAAGGTGGGATATGAGAAATGTGTTATAATCAGTGTTTATACTTGCATGGAAAAGACATGCATAGAGAAGAGGGAGATTTTGAGAGGTGTTAAGGGAGTATTTACAGAATTTTGAATCAAATGTGAAAAATAATTTTTGTGAGAGACATAAATGCTAAGAGGGAGAAAGTGTTGTAGAGCGTGTGGGAGATAAGTCTGGGGTACCATGTTAATTATAATGGGGGACTTCTCATTGAACTTTGTATAGGAAAAGGTTTGGTAATAGATATTACGTAGTTTAATAGAAAATAGGATAAATAGGTAGATAAGATACAATATCGGGCTTAACGATGGAAATTTGTTAGTGTGAATTTTTAACTAAAATGTTGATAGACTTATTCCCCGATAATTCATGCACTATCTTTAATCTGTTTTCACCTACACACGAGGAACTATGGATGCTTTCCCCCACTGTCTACATAAGAACATAAGAAAATAAGAAAGGAGGAACACTGCAGGAGGCCTATTGGCCTCTTTCATTCAATTATTAAGCAAATGCACCAAATCTCCAAAACTATATCCCAGCCCACTTTTAACAATTCTGTCTTGATCGCAGCTATCACAGGCTTCCTCGCTTCCCCAACACTCACAGCTGGCACTTCCTCACACCTAAAAGATGTCTTACCTCCGTGCACAATGCATAAAATTACTGTCCCTGTCTCATCATCAACATTTAGCAGCTCCTCAAAATATTTTCTCCATTTTCCCAACACCTCCACCTCCCTATCTAGTAACTCCCCTAGTTTATTTTAAATGATAAATTTATTTGTTCCCTGGCATTCTGATCTAAATAATCTTTCTCCAAAACTTTGGCTTATTCTCAAAAGTATTTGCTGATATAACCTCATCTATTCTTTCACTTGTTCATCTTTTACACACCCTTATCTCTCTTCTAACTACTCTTTACTCTAGCTACCCCCCCCCCCCTTTTTGTATATCACTTTGTAAAAAAACTTTCATAAGAACATAAGAAAGGAGGATCACTGCAGCAGGCCTGTTGGCCCATACTGGGCAAGCCCTTTACAGCATATGGGAATCTTTATTCAGGAAACGTTTCGCCACACAGTGGCTTCATCAGTCCAATACAAAGAGGAAGGCGTAAGGAGAGGAGGAGTATGAGGTAATCAGTCCCTCAGCCTGGAGTCGATGTGTTCAGTCCATCAATCTTGTAGAATGATTACCTCATACTCCTCCTCTCCTTACGCCTTCCTCTTTGTATTGGACTGATGAAGCCACTGTGTAGCGAAACGTTTCCTGAATAAAGATTCCCATATGCTGCATAAGTGTCTCAATCTTCAACTTGTCGGTTTTTCAAACCATTCATCACAAGCCCTTTACAATTCATCCCACTAACAAAACATTTGCCCAACCTAATTTTCAGTGCTACCCAAGAAATAAGCTCTGATAACTCTATCCACTCATTTGCAAGTCCCACTCAAATCCATCCCCTCTCACTCATATATTTATCGTAATAAAGTTGGTAGAATTACCGACAATATGTAAAGTAAAAGGACACAAGGGCAACTAATGTGACATTTATTGTGGCAACGTTTCGCTCTCCAGGAGCTTTATCAAGCCATTACGCTTGATAAAGCTCCTGGAGAGCGAAACGTTGCCACAATAAATGTCACATTAGTTGCACTTGTGTCCTTTTACTTTACATATATTTATCCAACATAAATTTGAAACTACCCAAAGTCCTAGCCTCAATAACCCAACTAGGTAGACTGTTCCACTCATCAACTACCCTATTTCCAAACCAATACTTCCCTATGTCCTTTCTAAATCTAAACTTGTCTAATTTAAATCCATTACTGCTGGTTCTCTCTTGGAGAGATATCCTCAAGACCTTGTTAATATCCCCTTTATTAATACCTATCTTCCACTTATACACT